GTTATCATTACTGTATCACACCACTGTGTGATTTATCAAAATAAAATCTTATCCATAATGGAGCTAGGCAGTTCGTATTATAGCCATCGATGACTGTCTACTTCATACAGAAACTGTGGATTCCATTGGCCACAACTTCTCAGAACGGCTTCAAAACATCCGTCTAGCAGCCGTCAATGATCTACAGACTGATATTTTAATCGTGCTCTCTAGTTTTCAATGATTCTCCCACTGATGTTGATATGAACTCAGATCCCAGCAAGAATTCAAAATCCAAGTCTTTTCTTCAAGTTTATATTTTGGGGAATACGTTTCCCGGCCACGAATTCTTTTTTTGCAGCACACATCTAAATGGTATTATTCCTCTGATAATATAGTAAAACCAATATATATCAGCGATTACCTGCCAGCCATTTGTTTACTGCTTCAAAGAAGGACATTTTATTCAGAACAGCATATATATTTATATTCAATAAGATAAAACTTCGCGTACAAAACAAATAAACCAGTAATACCCCCACTTCATTAGCAGATCGATGTTCCTTCCTACGGCTTTACTTCTTTGTGATTGATATAAACCTTGATATCTTGAAAAGAAAAAAATACAGGGTTGAGGGAAATCTTTTTATCGCTGTTTTAGTACATTGATGTAGCTGCGGGGGGGGGTGGGGAGTTATTTCATAAATTCAGCAATAATTTACATCAACTTTTCCCTTTTATCAGATGAATAATACTTCCACGTTGGATTGACTCAGCACTTAACGGTCGTATATTTGTAGTCGATACGACAGTGTTATGAACACCAGTTTGCATTGTTGTAGAGCTTGGTGTAACTAAAGATGTTCGTTGTATACTAGATACTGGTGTACTTCCAGTGGATTGCATTACCACAGAGGTTTTACTCCTCTGGGCTAAAGTAATTGAACGTTTACTGGTGGTTGGTTGAGATTTTGGGGAACGATTTTTTCTAAGCAGTTTCGCAATGTGCTAAAATAAACAAAACACAAAAAGGAAGAATAGAATGAAAATGCGAGTTAATGAATACTAAGAGTGTTTGACATTTCTAACTAATTAGATGGTCGGTTGGAGGACTTCATCATGAGCTGACATCAGTTAGAGAACCATTGGAAAACCTGGGAGTACTGGACAGCTGTTTTGTCCTAGTTCGGGACCCATCATCAGCACGCACCCACCGGAGCTCGAATCCAGGACATTCTGGTTACAAGGCGAGCTCGTACACCATCAGGTCCCATCGTCCCAAACTAGGACGAAATAACTGTCTAATACTCCCTGCAGGTTTTCCAACGGTTCTCCAACTGATGTTAGCTCATGATGAAACCCTTCAATAATGAAAGTCTATCTTGCTTCTACGATCCTGGCTAACTTTGATATCCTCATCCCGTTGTTGAAACGATACAGTCCTCCACAAATGCTGACTGACGTTTGTTGTTGCTGGTTAAATATCCCCGTCACCTCTGTGTTCTGTATATCCCTTTGATTAGACAGTATTTAAATTTATTCAGGGAGTAACATGTCAATGTGCAGCGATTACATAGGACGTAGCGAGACAATTTCTTGATGACTTTTTTCATAAGGGAATTAAATGAATTTTCTCACTTTTCATTATTAATGATTTCAACAGTTCATTTCACTGAGGAAATTCTTGAGACTAACCGGAAGTTTCCAAGACCCCTTTAAGGTTAATAACACTTGAAAATTAAGATGAACATTAAAACAAAAGCACTGATGATAAAATTTGTGGTTCCCATTTCAAAATTACGTCTGAGTTACTGTGGATTACGTAAAGGCTGGGACTATGATCTATGAGTGTTATTTTTATTCTCGGAATCACTCAGTTAATAAAAATTCCCCTATTTTAAAAGAGTTAGTTGGTTGGTGAGATATCAATGTTGAATTTTCCTTTTATATTTAGTAGGTGAATAAAGGCACTCACCAACTTTTAAATGCTTGATATTATATGACCTAGAGAATAAATGAACTTAGGAATATAGTACAAAAAGCAGTCATGACAACTTCTTCACGAGTCAGCAGTCATATAAACCTATTTTACCTCATTCAAAAGTCCACTTTAGGATAATACAATTCAGACCTATCTAAAAAAACAATACTAGTCAATTTGGCTAATACAACCCATTTTATGTGTCTTGCGTTATTACTGATTGTGAATTGTCTTCTCTGATGAAAGGTATATTTAGAACATGGATGCAATTCAAAAATCACTCGCATTTTCATGCAGCTTTCACTGAGTTTCACCCTGTTGTGTGGAGGCTAATGAACACTACCTGACTGCTAAGACTTCAGAAGGGAAAATGAGTTTCGGACCCGTGACTCAGTGATTGGAAGCTCAGTTATAAACCAATGGAATACATTTTCGCCTATAACATAAATATCAAGAAGAAGCTTTTTCATTCCCCCGCGTTCTGAGGGGATCAAAGATTTTGGAGACTGAGACCAAAACACTCAGTAGTGACAGTATTTTTATGGTGGGGGGTTGCTGACTGATTGACTGACTGGTTTCAGCGTGGAACTTTACATAGATATGCAGCAGTTCCAGTTACCACTCGCCCTCCATGCGCCACACAAAGCAAGAGAAGACAGTAAAGAGAGATGCAAAAGAGAGATAATAAACAGAAGTGTGAGGCAGAATTACTAGTAATATGGATGAACATTCGAATTTCATTGGATATTATGAACCAAAAAGAGTGAATGCATCTGGTTTCCGAGTGTACACACAGGACTTCTACCTGAGCACATTTCCAGTTTTTTCTACCATTTGCCGTCCTCTTCGGCTTGGACAATGGTTGCTCACAATCTCACACGATCTACTCCATGTCGCCGTCGTACTGACGACCCACTCATCGCTTCCTGTTAGGATTCCACTTGATTACTGGCCTGTATTGAGCACGGTGTCATTCGACGGTCTCCTTGATCTATGCTCGATCAATCCATCTCTATTTTCTCCCAGATATTTGTTGATCGATAGGCTCTTGGTTGGTTTGTTCTCACAGTTTCTTGTTAATAATTCTTTGTGGCCATTTGATCTTCTGTATGTAGCGAAAGCAGCTGTTGATAAAAGTCTGCAGTGGACTGTTGAAAATCCTTTACGTTACACGCAGTGCAAGTTTCTGATCCGTATAGAAGGACCGACTTGACATTGGTGTTGAAAATCCGAATCTTCTTCTTTATGCTGAGTGTAAAAGATTTCCAAACTCGTTTCTGGTTGATGGAGGCAGGTCTTGCCTTACTGATTCTGACTGATTTTGACATCTTCATCCATTCGGAATGTCTGCCTAGGTAGGTGAAGGCAGGAGGTGACCAGCGTTAAATATCTCCCGTTGATGGTGCTTGTAGCCAGTTGTTGATTCAGTTCGTTGGTTATCTTCATCACCTCCGTCTTCTCAGTGTGCACTATAAGTCCTGTCTTCAGCTAGTTTGTTGGTTTTCGCCTGTCGATCTTCAAGTTTTTGTGACAATAAGCATAAATCATCCACGCGCGAAATCCAGATCTTCTAAAATCTCCTAATCGGTTGTTCAGCGTATTCCAGTCCATCACAATTAAGAAAATTACTGGTGATAATAGACAGCCTTGTCTTACTCTCGTATGTGCTTCGAACACATCTCTGAGGTTTCCGTTGTGGATCACCTGATAGGTGCCATTGTCATATAGCTGTTGAATTTGGTTGATAAAGACTTGAGGTACACAGTAGTGTTGAAGTAGTTTCCGAATTACGTCTGTCTAATCACTCCTAACTATCTTCCAACCTAATCCAATGTCAGCCAAAGTTGCTCAATGCCAAATAATATCCCCAATAGTCTGTTTGAAGATATGTACGACTGCTAATAGATGGTTAGAGGAAGTCTGCAGGATGTCTTGGAGCTAGATTTCGTGCACTCATCATTCAGCGAGGCGTGCCGTCAACCTTGGAGGAGCTTATGTCCTTTCCGAGATTTGCCCCTTTGCCACTCGGTGCTCAAGTCAGAAAATTTACTAATGAGCTATTCGTGCCCACGATTCATCTCAGGTTATTCTAAACTGGATATTTTGCGAACTTGGCTGATAGAACTCACCGAACAAAGGAGCAGATATATGACACTGCTTATTAACAGTTGTTCAATCGAAGGATACCTATTACATAGTTTATTTTTTGGATACGTGTCTCCATTAGCATCCTACTTCATATTACGCAACCCCTGTCAGTCCTTACTAATCTTCACCCCCCTCCTCCTAGTTACAATTTTGATTATTCATCACATTTTAGAAGCATTTTGATGACGTTAACAGTAATCCTTACTAATTTTTATTTTATTTTTGTCTGACAATCCTAATGTAGAAACACACAAACATACAAAATAATTGTATATAAATGCGATTGTATAGCTAAGCGAATGAATTCGCCTCCGAAAAGAAACTCCTCGCTGAACTATGTTGTTTTTATATTCATGTCTGGATGGGTATTTCCCGTGAATATGCCATAATCATTACATGCAATAGGTCACACTGTGTTAACAAACTGAACTGACGATCTAAATGTTTCTATCACCGAGTAAACGTTACTCAAAATCCTCACAGGAAAAGAGTTCAATCGTGCGAATCGTACTCAGAGTACACTTTACGAACAAAGTAATTAAAATTCATAATAAAAGCGTATTGGAACAAAATAAATGACCAAAATAAAAATGTTTACCTTTTGCCAACTCGTTGGAAAAGCATTCAATAGGCAAGCAATAGTAATGAGTACTAAACTTGAAATTTGCACAGATGACATGATAAACTTTTGATGTGTCCAAAATAATTCATAAGCTATTAGGAAAATAATAATAATAACAATAACAGTAGTTAGTCACGTGAGCACTACAAAATGTTCTGTATTTAAGCAAACATGATGCAACATAAAAATGAGGATAATTTGCAATTAATAGTGTTCCCTGAGCTGGTTGGTTTAGTTGAGGAGGTTTCGTCGTCCCCCCTGCTGGACAACATCTTCAGCGCAATATTTAGCATAAACTGAAATGATTTAAATTTCTTCATGAATGATATAATTGCGTCTCCTGGTAACCATCTTTACATATGTATTGATCATTTTCTATTGACTTGGATTTTAAACTTTCTGGTCACCTGATTTACTTTTTATTAGTTGGTATATTTCGTCTATATTAACGTGCTTGTTAATTGCATTTTCGTTTGAGTACCAGGTTTCTAGGAATTCCCTGACTGCACTTTTGGTGTTTCCTCTGTCTAAGATTTTGACATTATCCCAATCAAAATTATAGTCCATAATTGTCGACATGCATTGATACTAAAGAATACATTCGTGTCTTTTCACGGCTGATTTGTGTTCTTGGATTCTAATTCGAAGGGGACGCCCACTTTGGCCGATGTAATGCTTGTTGCAGTTCATGCAATTTATTTTGTAAATGGTATTAATTTTATCTCTTTTTTTCTGTTGGATCTTTCGGTTTGCATAATATCCAATTAGCACTCCAGAGTTGAAAAGAATGGAAGAAAAATACCTACAAACGGTCTTCAAAAAGAATGGTTATCCACAAAATTTCATCAAAAGTGTTTAAAGTCGAATCAAAACACCAACAAACAAGCATCATCAAAGACCACAAGAAAATTCATCCTGCCATACATGAAAAATATCTCTGAAATAACAGCTAGAATACTGAAACCGTTTGATATAGATACAGCAAACAAGCCACTCAAATCACTTCATTCGATATTGGGCAAACCGAGAGATCCAACAGAAAAAGGAGATAAAATTAATACCATTTACAAAATAAATTGCATGAACTGCAACAAGCATTACATCGGCCAAAGTGGGCGTCCCCTTCGAATTAGAATCCAAGAACACAAATCAGCCGTGAAAAGACACGAATGTATTCTTTAGTATCAATGCATGTCGACAATTATGGACTATAATTTTGATTGGGATAATGTCAAAATCTTAGACAGAGGAAACACCAAAAGTGCAGTCAGGGAATTCCTAGAAACCTGGTACTCAAACGAAAATGCAATTAACAAGCACGTTAATATAGACGAAATATACCAACTAATAAAAAGTAAATCAGGTGACCAGAAAGTTTAAAATCCAAGTCAATAGAAAATGGTCAATACATATGTAAAGATGGTTACCAGGAGACGCAATTATATCATTCATGAAGAAATTTAAATCATTTCAGTTTATGCTAAATATTGCGCTGAAGATGTTGTCCAGCAGGGGGGACGACGGAAGCTCCACAACTAAACCAACCAGCTCGGAGAACACTAATAATTGCAAATCATTCACCTGAGCTACAAATCTTCTCTGTTATGAGGATAATTCGTCAATAGTCTAACAAAATAAAATTGAGTGTTGCTCGAATGTCGGCGATTTCTCTGCTTAGAGTCGTCAGTTATGATAGGAACCAGCATAAAATAGTATATCATCCTTTCTCACGCATATTGTGATTGACTGTGTGATCACCATTCATTTCTCACGCTTGTGAGCTGATTTTATTGTGGTAAAAACAACGTATAAATATGACGTGTTGTTCGCCTAATAAAGATGCAGTATCTTATAATCTCACAGACCAGCCTTTTCCTTTTGTTCTTTGCACGACTCAGAGATTCGGAAGGTACAGCTGACGACTAGACTTATAAGCATACCAGTCGAGTTTATTACCGCTGCAACAATTAGCGAAGGAGATATAACAAGTTAAGTACCTTTTCTTTATAGCGGGATCGGAAATTCACTTAATTCTGCAGTTCATAGTTGACCTATGTCTTGCTTCTCTATAGGGTGGTGGTGTGATACAGACAATATGTGCCAAAGGAGTATGATTATCACATATTCCCTCAGTTCAATGTGGCATTAGCAACAGAATACTATGCATATATTTGAAGATTCTATTTCATGTCACTTAATGTAAACCGAAACCACACATTCAGTGATTGGTTAAAGAATGTAAACTGTATAGGTATATAAAGAGCGGTTCAATCACTTGAAAAAATACCTTGGCTACCGTGTCTTGCCTTATGTTGTTGCATTAAGTGTTGCTGTCTTTCGACAAATCAAAGGCCTATGCCCTGCAGGTTTTGAAGAAGGAGTCATATGGATTTCCTTACAGGACTTCGATGCTATTGCGCAGTTGAATGGTGTTCAAGATCCGTCATGCGAAGATGCTTTTACTTGGAACGCTGCTGATAGGTCCAGCGAAGGCAGCATATGATAGTGTGAGGCAAAACACTGGTGAATACGCGTCAGGGTCAGGCAGATTGCTTCCAAATTATGAAGGAGCATACACAGTCACCATGAGACGGGATCACGGTGTATATACCATCAGAAATGCAAACAACGAGAAGCATGTGAACGCAAGCGAGCTCCAGCAATGGACACAGTAAGACAAGCAAGGAAAGACTACAGGAACAAGAAGACCGAACCGACTTCAGTCTAAAGTATTTGACGGGGTGACGAGTATGGTGGGTGTGACACAGACAATTATGTGTCAACAGAATATAATTCTCACATATTCCCATACTTCAATTCGGTATTATCAATAGAATGCAATATATCTATTTGAACATTCTATTTCGTGTCGTTTAGTGTTAACCAAAATCACACGCTCAGTGATTGGTTGCTGCTGCTGGATTCAACAGAGAACTTGACATCGAAATGCATCAGTTCGAGTTGCCACGTTTCAAATAGCACACAAAGGTCAACAAGATGAGTGGTGAAGAGAATCAATAGAGTTTTGATAAGTATAAGAGTGAAACAGAATGAGTAATGGCAGAAAGGAATATGGAAGATTACAGAGACTGAATACATCTGCGTAAGCCATTGACAACGATTTTGAGCCATGTCACCTATTGTCTCCAGCCATTGATTCTTAGAGTCCCGAGGGCGGGCCCCAAACCGGAAGTCTGCATCTCCCTCCCTACCTGACTGACTCAGTTTAACTGTCAAGGATTTCATGGATTGATTCCATGTTTTTGTTTGGCCACCACTTACTCTTTTCCAACCTACACCTATATCAGCTAGTAATGCCCGTCCGTCGGGGGAGGCGATGGTTAGGCATGCGCAGCACGTGACCTAGCCATCTCAATCTATGTAACTTTACAGCCTCTTCGATTGATTTTCCCTCTTTGCCCGACACTCTACGCCTAATGTCAACATTACTCACCTTATTATACCACCTAACGTGAGAAAGAGATCGTAGACATCTATGATCAAAAACAGTCAACCTTTTCATGTCTTCAACTCGTATTGGCCATATTTCAGAGTCATAGAGAAGGACAAAGCGAACTGCTGAGCAGTACACACTTCCTTTGGTTGATAGCCGGATGTCACGCCTACGCCAGAGACGGTGTAAGTTAGCGAAAGCAGCCCGAGCTTTTTGGATCCGTGCTGAGATTTCGTCACCAATCAATCCGTTGGTGCTGATACAGCTTCCCAAATAGGTGAAGTGATCAACATGTTCTATCACTTCACTCCCTATCACTAAGCTAGGAGTTGACGTAGTCCAGTCAGTCCTGTAGCAGCATCTTACATTTTACAGGGGCGAATCGCATACCAAACATACGAAGATTGCTGCTCAAGGTGTTCAGAAGACTCTGCTCTATTTTGTCAGCATCCTACCCTGACAGGACTATGTCATCTGCATATTCTAAGTCCATAAAACTATTCCCTGGTAACAAGTCGATTCCTAAGTCGTTAATTTCAGTTAAGGATACTTCCATTAGCATATCTATGATGAAGTTAAACAGAAAAGGGGAAAGTGGACATCCCTGACGGACACCACTGGTTGTTATCAGTTCAGATGACAATTCCCCATAAGCCCTTACACGGCTACGTGAGTTTGATTAAAGTGCCTTGATTAGTGCAATGTACTTTCTTGGCTGAAGAATGTTAACTGCGTAGATATATAAACAGTGGTTCAATCAATGAAAATATACCTTGGCATCCGTGTTTTGCCTTTTGCTGTTACAGTAGTAGTTAATACAGTTTTGTGTAGGCAGGAATATAATGAAAAAGCTTATTAACTAGATTGGAAGGTATCCTTAGTCATAGGCAACAATGAAGCATCTAGAGAGAGTAACTAACTGCAAGACACACCTTCAAATCAGTGTGGAAATCTACTTTACTCAGCATAAAAGACAAGATCCAGATCTTGAATACTAACGTCAAGTCGATCATCACCTTCTATTTAGTTTAGAGTCTCGGCTTGTCACCAGGAGCATTTCCAACTTCCTACTGCAGATTTCATCAACAGCTGTCTTTGCTTCACACTGAAGATGAGATAACTAGATAGAATAAGTGAATAGGAAATCTGTAAAGCAGAGAACCACCTGAGAATTTACTGCTCGACAAGTATATATCAAAGGAAATATTCCTAGATTGAATATATACAGACTGTTGAGTGACATCAATTGTCAGTCCCTCAAGTGGAAACTGGATGGAAAACGACGAACTGTGTATGGGTCCACTCGTGACAGGAAGGAGATCGTGTGAGGAGGAAGTGATAGCCTACGTTTGGTGGTGGAACCAAAAAGAGGAATCTACAGAGGTCACAATGAGATGTTGGTGTTTTTCTGGAACCCTTTGTTCCAGTCAGAATCAAAAGGAATCATAGTGGTATGTGTCAACTTTGGTCTCGTCACCAATCGGAATCATTCAGATAACTCTTTGAAAATCAGGGAGTATTTGATAGCCTCATCATTCTAGTCTTTGATTCATTAGGGGTGCGAAATCACGATTTAATTAGAGATCAATGTAACTCCTAGATCATTTGGTTGGTAGGTTAACATTCGCTTACTGGGTT